TAAATTAAAGCTCAGGGAAAAAATGACTAAAGCAGCTCATTGAAACAAATCTATTACTCCTCCTGAAGACTTAATTTTTTCCTTATATCAAATTTATAATAACTGGTCAAATCTAAATTATAGTCTCAGAAAATAAGAAATGCAACCACCGTTTTACACTAAAGGTATCCCCGGTCAACGAAATTAATATGCTGTAGAAATAAAAACCACACTTGTTTTAAGGAATCACAACTGTTAACAATTACGTTCTAAAATGTTTAGGGACTTCTTTCAATTTAGTGAATTTTAGTAGGTCTTCAGAAAGAAACCAGAATTTCAAGTCCAAGTTTTTTCTATGTGCATAAGGCCACTTTGAGAACACATCTTCTCTAAGGATTTCCCAGTTTTTCAATCAAATAGCATCAGCACTTATATCATCTTACACTTGGTTTTGTCGTATTTGCTATATTTCCCTTTCTTATTTGCATACACTAAAAGATGTTATAAGAAGTCTGAAGTTATTGTTCTGGTCTAAGTTAACATATAAATAAATGCCACTTTTAAAAAGTGGCTTGCAGAGCTATCAAGTTTTCTTTTGCCTCATTAAAGTATATCTTTAAGTCCCTACAATAAAAGATATGTAAGCTGCAATGTATAGCCAAATAATTTTTTAAACCTTTAAACACTGTGAGAATGAGTGCTTCCCAGGGGAGATGATTAATATAAGGAACTAAGGCAAACCATCCTGAATGTCTACCATGAAGAAATAATAATAGCAAACCAAGTAAAAATAGAAACGTGTTATTTTATAAAATGTCTGTTTTAACTCTTTAAAAGGGCACAGACATTTAGACTTGAGTCTTTCCTTTGAAATACATACTATGGCTATTTGAGAACATGGGGTTGGAGCTTATCATTAAGTTTTGCCACGGTTTTGCACCATTTCAGGCAGGCTAATATAAAGAATTATGTCAAATAAGCTACTGCTGAAAATATGGAGAGGTGGGGGGAGGAGAAAAACCTCTGGAAGCAAAAAAGATTTAAACTAATGAATGATGGATCCCAAAGACACAAAAAAAGCTGCATGCCATGTTGAGTTGTGTTATTTTACATGTAGAAAACGACTAAGCCAGTGGCATAAGCCTCAAAACCTTTTAATAATGTTTTAACTTCTTATGTATCTTTACTTTGTAAAAACTCTCCCCCTAACCACTTTAAAAGAAAGTGGTTAAGTGATAAAAATCTACCAAAGCTTTTCTTTAAATAACATCAGCATCCTGGAAGAGGTAAACAGCATGCAGCCCTTAAGACCACTCTGCTGTTTTTACCTGTCGTGCCCCATCACCCACCGCCAAGTCACAAATGCACAGGATCTTAAACTTTACAGAAAACGGTGACCTTCAAGCCTCTGCGGGCCTGACACATTCGGCTCATGATTCTTTATCTCCCACTTGAAATGTGGCAGGATATTCCCGGTTTGTTACTAAATTCTCTCGAAGCACTGTCCTAACTACAAAGTAACACCAACACTCTTTGCTCCTGAGCATTAAAAAAAAAGAAAAAGAAAAAGAAAGAAAGAAAGAAAGAAACTAGTCCACCAAAGCGATCGCACCTTACAACTTCATCATCTCTGCAAAACTGATAACTCCGAGGCAAGGCAAAAAGAGTTAAATCGCTAAAAAGCTCTCTAGGAAAATCTAGAAACAGTTAGCTGGCTGTGACATAAACCTGCCAACACCTCAGCACACAGTGGCAAGGTGCCCAAAAAATGCCACCCTCTGGGTAAACCGCTTTCTTGTTTGCAACTCTGGAGGAGGCTCCCAGTTGCAGAGGCGAGGCGGCGGGGGCCTTATCTGGCCACCCGGAGGGGACTTCCTGTAACCCTACACCGCGGCGGCGCCCGGGCCACCTGGACCCCGCCACCCGGGCCCTTCCCGCCGGGCCGGGCCGGGCCGGGCCGGGCCGGGCCGCGCGCCTCCCCGCTGCGGGCTGTTACCTCCCACGGCCTTGGCCACGGCGCCGTTGGGCCTCCCGCGGGCTCCCATGGGGCTGCCGTTCTGCTCCAGCCGGGCCACCTTCACCGGGGGAGGCCCCTTGACGTCGGGGCTGCCGCTCCGCCGGTCGGGGCTGTCCCGCAGACACGGGCTCTCGCTCCGCCGCTCCATGCTGCTCCGACTCGGAGACAAAGTTCCCACCGGCAGGTCGCAATAAAACGCGCAGGGACCTAGGGAGGGGGCGGGGGGAGGGAGGGGGAGGGAGGGGGGAGGGAGGGAGGGAGGGAGGGAAGGGGGAGGGAGAAAAAAAGAGGGAAAACCGCTCACACACGTGATAGACGTTCAGGCCAGTGGCGGAGCGCGGCACCGCGCAGCCCCCCGGGCGTCCTCCCGCCGCCCGAGGCCCCGAGCCCCGCGGCCCGGCCGCTCTGCCGGAGGGAGCTCCGGGCGAGGCGCCCCGCTCCCGGGGGCGCGGCTGGCAGCGGCGGTCCTCGGGGGACACGGCCTCCCCGCACGCGAAGCAGTGAACTTCATCCAAAGGCCGCGTCCCCCGCCCGAGCAGGGGCTGGGGGATGGATGCACGCGGGTCCGCGAGAACCCCGATTAGCCACAGGATGCACGTGCGCTGAGTGGCGGGGCCGGCGCCAAAGGCCCGGCGCGGGGACCCCCTGAGCCCCCCGCTCTCCCCTCCCGCCCCCCTCCAGGGCCGGTCTGCGGACACAGACACGCATCGCACAACCGCAACCCCAGGTCCACATCGATGGGCACCCGGAGGTCCTCCTCCTCCTCACAGCCGCTCCAGGATAACCTGCATCCCCAGGGCGGGCGCGGGGGGGGGGGGGGAAGCTACCGTCGTTATTATTTTGGAACGTTCTTCTGTTCCTCCCATCCTTATTTGTAAAAGCTCTTCAGTGCAACACACAAAAGCAAAAAAAAAAAAAAAAAAAAAAAGCATTTAAATGGTTAGGTGAAGGAGCAGCCTTCATCAAGCCCAATTTAAAAATTCCTCCAAAAAGTTTTCCTCTGGGTGTCCTAAGGCTGACAAGCGCGCTCCAGGAACCCGCAGGGGGTCCTCGGCAAACCGCCCCCCCCCGGGGGTTTGGGGGGCGGCGGCGGCGGCGGAGGAGGAAACACCTGATGACACGGCGCTCACATTGTCACTGACATCCCCGAGAAGCAGGAACCGGCGCAGCCAAGTGCGCTGGGAACCCCGGCGGGCGCGCTCGCCCCGGAGAAGCCGCGCGTCCCGGAGGCAAGGTGGGGGTTGGCCGAGGGGCCGCGCGCGCCCACGGGAGGGCGGCGGGCGGAGGCTCCCCGCACCGCCCGGGCCGCGGGAGGGGCCTCGGCCGGCCGCGGGCTTCCCCGGCCCCCCGAGCCTGCGGTGGGAGTCCTCGCCCCGCGTACTTACTGCTCACGGTCTGTCTGTAACTTGGCTGGCTGAGGCTCTGTCCATGGAGCAAAAGTAGAGAATCCAGGGTGGAAAGTTTCTGGTGCTTTGCCTTGCAGCGCTCTCCTAGTCTTCTCTCCTCCTTCCCCTTGTCCTCTTTCCCAGGTCCTAACGTTTAAGGTCCTGGGTCAGGGTGTCTTCTAGTGCAGAGATGGTTGTTATGATGGTGATGATGATGATGATGATGATGATGATGGGAGGGGGGCAGGGGGAGGAGGAGGAGGAGAGGGAAAGGAGGATTCCTCCAAAGGGGCACCCGAGCGAGCGGGGGAGGAGACGGCGGAGGAGGGGAAAAGAGAAAAGGAGGCTGAAAAAGCCTTTTCACACCTTCGGGAAGGAGACCCGTTCTGGAGAGAAAGGGCTGAGGACGGGGAGGCGGCGGAGGCGGGCCGGGGCTGCCGCTCCGCAGGTCTGCTAGTGGGCAGGCAGGCGCGGCCGGAGCCTCCCCCTGGGCCGGTGTCACCGAGAGCCGAGGCGGCACGGGGACCCGGGACCGCGCGCGGGAGCAGGCGCGGCGGCCGCCCAAGCCGTCACCTCCAGCCTCTCCCCTCTCGGCCGCCGCCGCCAGCAGCCGGAGCCGGACTCCCCGACCAGCCGCGGAGAGAGATACACTGAGAGGGAGATGATTATTAGTTGCGTTGAGTCATCAGGCAAAGTGAGTCCTTTTGGGTTGTCCTCGGTTTCCGATTTCTCCCCCTCCCCCTTTCCGTCCCCAGATCTAGCGCCTTCAAAATAATAATTTGGGGTGGGGGTAGGGGAAGTCTCTGGGTTATTTCGGGATGGGGGTTGGGGGGGGAAGCTCTAAACCCGAGCCAGACTGGTCCACCGCAGTGGAGGAGGAGGGTGGGGGGCGGGGAGGAGGGCTGGGGAGGTTGCGGGGGGAGGGGGGCCCCGCCTGGCAGGAAATTAAACATCAATCAATCAATCGCTGTGAGCCCGGCGACCCAAACAGCGGCGGGGCTGCGGAGGAGGCAGAGGGGCTGGCGAGGGGCGGGTGGGAAGCAGGGAGGAGGGCGGAGGAGGAAGCGGGGAGTCGGCGGCAGCGCAGCCGCGGGGCGAGGACCGCGCGCGTGGGGCGGCGGAGGAGCGATGGCAGAGGAGCGAGTGCCGCGCGGGGCGGCGGCCGGGCCGGCGGGTGGGTGCGGGTGCGCCCGGGCGCCGCCGGGGCTCGGGTCCGCTCCTCCTCCTCGCGGCGGGTCCCGGGCGCGGCCGCCTCGCCCGGCCCGGAGGCGCACTGGTCCCGGCGCGGGGGCGGCGGCGGCGGCGGCGGCGGCGGCTGCACGGCGGGCGCGGCTGCCTGGTCTCCCCGGTCTCCCCGCGGAGGCGCAGCCCGACGCGCAGCAGGCGAGCGCGGCTGCCTCGGCTCCGGGTTCTGCTAACTGCGCCGAGTACTTTCGACTTTGGAGATAGGAGGGCTATCGCCTCCCCCACCCACCGCCTCCGCCCACCACCCACCGCCTCCGCCCCTCCGAGCAACTTTTCCCGGTGCCGGGAGCTCCCCCTCCGCGCGGAGCCGGCCGTCCGGGGCCCGCCGCGCCGCAGCCCGCGCAGGGAAGGCCGCCGCCCGCGGGTCCGGAACAATGGCCCGCGCGCCCCGGGGGGCAGGGGTGCCGCGGCGCGGACGGGCGAGCGGGCCGCGTGGGGGGCGGGGGCCTCCCCGGGCGGCGGCCCCGGAGCGCTCGCTGCGCCGCGGGCATCCCGAGCGGCTCCGCCCGGAGGCCGTGGCGCGGAGGCGGGGAGGGCGGCGGGGCTCGCCCGTCCTGCAGCTGCGGGTCTGGGACTCCCGGGACACCCCCCCCCCCGCCCCGCCCCGGCGGCTCAGGCGCTGGGCTCCGAGGACGCGCGGCGTGCGCGGGGACGGCCTGGTGCCCCCGTCCCGGGGGAGGCCGCGCGGGGGCGTCCACAGCAGGTCCCGCGAAGGTGCGACTGAGCCACAAACTTTTGCCGACTCCCGCGGCCGCCGCCGCCCGCAGCCCGACTCCAGCCGCGGTGCTCATTTAAGGTGGCGCGGGCACCAGCCGAGCAGGCCGAGCTGCGGCCGCGCTTTTGTCCCTGAGGTCCCCGCTAGGGCGCCGGACCTCCTTAAAGAAAAGCACGTGGGCAGGGGCCGCGGCCCCCACGAGGCGCCCGGGGCGCCGGCTCACACTCGCGGTCCTGACCTGTGGCGGGAAAATGAGGCCGCGTCCCCGCGCGCCTGGAGGCCGGCGAAGCCCCTCTGCTGGCGGCACCTCCAGTCCCCACCGCGCACCGGGTGTCTCTCCCCTAAACCCCCGCACCCGGAGGACTCCCCACCATCGCGCCGCCTGCGCCGCCGGTCCCCCTTAAGAAGTATTGGCTGTACGGCGGCGCCAGAGGGCCAAACTCCATTCGGTTTGGGGAAACGCGCTCCTAGGGTAATTCTGGAAAGCTTGGGCCGGTGTACCGACAGCGGGGAGCCGCGGCCGCCGAGGGCGCCCGGAGGTAGGCCGCCGGCCCCCTCGCCGCACCTACCCGGTGGCCGGCGTGCGCGCAGCCGTCCCCTCCAGAGCCCAGGCCTGGGAGGCGGAGGAGCCTCTGGAAGAGAAAGGGTCCCAGAAACTAAACCTGCCCCGGCCTAAGGCTCAGCGCCCCGCTCGCGGAGCAGCCCGCACCCAGGCGCCGCCCACCAAGGTCCTAGGGAGCCCCAGGCGCCCCGGGAGGCGGTCGGAGCCCAGCCGGGAAAGGAAGCCAGCTCGATAGAGAACCTTCGGGGAGCCACCCTGCGAGCTCTGGGCTGCACGTTCTCTTCCCTGTGCTTTTATCCCCCAAACCCCATCTCTCCCTCCAACCTGAACGGACGGGTTAGAGAAAATGCACAATTCGAAGGCGGTGAGAACAAAGTGGCTCGAGTAAACCAACTCGTGGGGGTAGCTAAAAGGTTTTTGGCTGCAAAGAACCAAACTGTAAGTTTGATCAACAAACTTTTTTTTTTAATCTGTACTTTCACGTCGGAATGGGAAGGGGGTTTTGCAAAAAAAGCAACTACCACTGTCAAAGTTTGAGCCCGTTTCCAAGATGGGGAGAGCCGCAATTCTTAACAAATATCTTAATCTTAAAAAAAAAAAAAAAGATAATAATGCTGTTTCTTTCCTTACCTTGGTGTTGAACTGCAGAATCCTCCTCCGGATCAGTGTCCAGGAACTTAGAAGAAATGGTGCTATTAGGACTTCAGTACTTCTGGAAAAAAAAAAAAATGCAAATGGTTTAGCCAGGATCTTTCCTGTCTGATTCGTCACTATTATTATATCTGATGATGCGAATGGTTGGAGCGATTCAATCTTAAGTCATTAATGAGCTATTTTATAAACACCACTGTCTGAAGATCTTCATTTACATTTTGCGAAGGATCACTTCGCTAACCTCACATGCTTGTGTCAACAGCATGATTATGGGACTGCAGTCACACTCTCATAAACAACACAGCGGTATTGTTAATGGGTTAATATTTTATAAAGTGTAAATATTTTATTATGTTTTGAAGGGAGCTATTGATTCTAAATTATTAAACCCCTGCGATGGGTGATTTAAATAAAGTATACAATTTAAGTACAATTAAATGTACTTTGTGGCCAGTTTGTGTTCAGATTCTGCACCCTTTTGAAAATTAATGGGTTTTCTCATTATTAGAGTTTCTTCTTTTCCGTTTTTGACAGTGAACAAAACTATCATTTGGGGCAAAAGAACTCAAAATAGGTAAAGGTGAACTGGGCATAAAGGAAAACATCGAAAGCTCTGAGTTATTACCAGAAATGTGTTTTGAATATTTGCAGATTTATGTTTACTTACACATTTTACAAATTTCTTTCGATTTTAAAAAGGGAGAATTCTAGGAAGTTTTGTGATACGTGCCCGGTGTGGGCTTTCTTTCTTTCTTTTTTTTTTTTTTTTAACCCCCCTTGAGTTTTGTCCCTAATAAAGGCCTTTTCTGTTTCAAATTACATAAGCTTTTTACTGCATGATTTTTGTATTGACCTTATTTCAACTGAAGTAAGCAATTATTTTCGGCATGCTTAATTTTGACAATAAGAAATTTCAAATAGCATTTTTATCTTTTGCTGAGATTTTCTACTTTTTAAAACCGTAAATAAATTCTGATTCAAAAGTTCTGTTTGGTTTCGTTTTATATTCCTCAAGTGGTTCATTTCCAAACATTTTTAAAACAAAATCACACTCAAGAAAAGAATTGGTTTTAATTACGTTTGTTGTTGTTGGGTTTTTTTCTTCTTTAAAAATAATTTGATCCCAAACGCATTTTTTTTATACAGACAGTTTGCTCCAGTGCTCAAAGCATAAAGTTCACACTGGGGGACATTTTAATCCTTCACCTTGCTTCTCACTGACGTTTCAGTCGGGAATCTACTAAGACTTTTTCCTCCCTCTCCTCCCCCACCCTCAATTTTTTTTTTCATATGTCATTTAGTCAAAGGTCGCCTGTCTTTCATAATCACACTGAGATTTGTTATTTTAAAAATCAACGGATCTTTACGCGCTGGGCTTAAATATGCATGTTTTTTCTTATTTTCATGTTCTCCCCTTTTCTCTCCATCTCTCGTCAGGCCTTTCTTCTCCTTTTATGGCCTGCACTTTTAATGGCAACATTTCTTGATTTCTCGCCCTGGACACCGAGGTCTCTGCTGTGCTGGCTCTTAACGCGTGGCCAACCTTCCTTCCGCGATGAGCGCGCAGGGCGGCCTAGGCCCGACCGCCCCGGGCGGAGGGGGCTGGGTGCCCGGGCCGGGCCGCCCCGCCCCGACCCCTAAGGCTCCAGCATCCATCACCGGGCTCCCTGGATCCCAGGTCCGGCCGCCCGGGCGGAGAGGCCCTCCCGGAGGTGCGCTGCCTCTTAGGGAGCACGGGGAAGCCGTGCGGCCTTTCCCCTGCGCTCTCGCACACGCCAGAAGCCCTCTGCGGGCACCGCCGGCGTCGGAAGCCTTCTGCGGCTCCTAGGAACCCACGCAGGCCTGCCTCTCCCCCTCTCCGCGCCCCCCCGCCCCCCCGCCAGCACCCGGGGCTCGCTCTGCTGGGGGCGAGGGGAGGGCGGGAGGGAATCCTTTCCCTCCAATGAAGCCCACACCACTTCTGAGGCCAATTTCCGCCGCGGACTGTCCGGGGAGAGTCAGGCGACCAACGTGTCCACGGACCGCAGAACTTGCCCCAGGCTCGGGGGTGGAAGTTGCACGTGCCAAGGGCCCCGAGGGGCGCGCGCCCGCCTCGCCGGCCCGCGGGGTGGGCTCCAGCCCTTTGGCGGCTGCTCCGGGGCGTCCGGGGACACTTACTCCGCTGTCCGCACGCCTTCCTCGTTGGCATCAGAGCCCGTCAAATCCCAACCCGCGCCCGGCAAAGCCCTCGCGCGGCGGGCTCGCGCGGCAGCCCCGGGGGGCCTGGCGGGGGCGGAGCGGCGGGGAAGCCGTCGGGCCCCTAGGGCAGGGCGGCCGGAGGTCCCGCTCCCCTCCTGCAGCGGCCCCGACGGAGAGAGGCGTCCCGGGGAGGCGGTGGCCCGGCCGGAGCGAGCTGCGCGCCCCGGAGGTCGCGGGGTCGGGGGTCCGACGCCCCGAGGGCGGGAGGGGGCCCGCGGAGGTCGGCCCAGGAGCTGCCTCCGGCGACGGCGCGGAGCTCTGCGCCCCGGGGTCCCAGGTGCAGGGGCTGGGAGAGGGCGCCTGCCCCGGGTGCAGAAAGCCAAGGGACACGACCCGAAGGTGAGGGCGTCCCGGGTGGACGGGGTGGAGGTGCTGTCCCCGCGCGCGGCCCCGGGCTGGGAAGCCAGGAAGGCGGAGGGCCTGCGGGCTCCGAGCAGCACTCGCGACGACGCATGACAACGCCCCCAGGCTCCTGGATCCTTCCACTCTTTTCCAGAGTCTAGAGCTAATAGAGCTGGATCTCCTGCAGCATCGCAGGGAGAGGAGGACTGCCCTGCTAAACTAGTGTGTTTGCTTTTTGTTGCTTTTCTGTTTTTGTTTTGTTTTGTTTTTTTGGAATAGAAATCGACTTTAAACGACCGGTGACCGGGCCGTGGGGGACAGAAAACGAAACGCCCAAGGAGCTGCCGCCGCCGCCTCCCTGCCCCCTCCCCGGGGCCGCGGGGCTCCGAGCGCGGAGTCTCGCTCCCGACCCGCTGCGTCTGCCGTCTTGGAGGCCGCGAGCAAGGAGGACCGGGCCCGCCCCATCGCTCGGCCCGGGGCCCCCCGGAGCGGCGAGGAGCCCCGCGCCCTCGACTCATCCCTACGGCCCCGCCGCCTGGAGCCCGGGTCACTGCCCGGGTCCCCCGACCGGAGACTAGCCGTCCGCTCCCGACAGCGCCACCGCGTGGGCTGCGACCGAACCCCGCGGCGTCCCGGAGCCTGCCCCTCGGCGTCGCCCGGTCGCGGGTGCAGGGAGCGGCGGGGGATGGGCAGGTGCGGGCCCGGCTCACCCCCGGACCACCCTACGCCAAAGCCCGCGGGGCGAGCAGGACCTCGGCGGCGGCCCGACCCCCCGGGAGGGGACCCATACCTGGCAGGTCCAGGCCGAAGCCCACGCGGCGGGCAGGGCCGCCCGCGCCGAAGTCCGCGCACCCGCCGCCGCGCGGAGGCGGCCCAGCTCCCGCCCTCCCGGGGCTCCCGCAGCTCCCGCGGCTCCCGCAGCGGTCGGCGCCCCTGGGCCAAGCGGGCGAGCGGCGGGAAAGCCGGCTGCGCGCCCCGCGGTGCCCCGGCCCGGGCGGCCCAGGCCCCTGTGGAGCGATGGGGAGCCCCGAGGGTGTCCTGGGCCGGCTCACGACCCCCCCGGACACCTTCCCGGCCCGTGACAGCTGGACCCCGGGGAGGGGTCGCTTCTCCCCCGCCCCGCGCGCCTCGGGCGCCCGCCGCCAAGCCCCGCGGAGCCGGGCATCACCTGGAGCTGGCCCGGCGCGACGTCACCCTCGCGAGCCCCCGTGTCGGGCTCAGGGGACCTCCGTGGGCCGGCCGGGGCTTCTCTTTAATAAATGCAACTGTTGACACGCGCACACGCACACACACACACTTGGGGACCATCCGCCGCGGACAGGGACAACGACCCAGAAAGGTGTGGATTCACCTGGTGCCCACCCAACTACAGAACTCCTAGCCCCACGCAGAACCGAGGCTCGGGCCTGAGCGCTCACGCCCGGCGGCCGCCGGTCACACCCCCGCAGGTCGCCGGCCTGGCGGTGGAGCAGGGCGCTCCCGCCGGGGCCCGGGGTGCCCGGCCGTGCCCGCGCGGAGCAGTTCTGGAGCCCATTGTCCGCCCGGCCTGCTCGCCCGCACCCCAGCCTGGGCCCGGACCTGCTGGCTTCTAAATTCTAATGCCCGTAGGCCGCGCGGGGCTGTCCCCAAGCGCGCCAGGCCCGGCACGCGTGCCAAGTGGCTCACCTCGGCTCGCTGCGCCTGCCTTTGCCCCCGGGGCCCGGGGCCTGCGCGCGCGAGGCGGCGGGTCGGGACGCGGACGCCGTCTGCTCACCTCCAGGAGCCGGCAGCGGGTGCCTGCGGCGTCGCTCGTCCAGCCCCGAGGCTGATTTAAATAACTAATAAGCTCAGAGAAATTTTACGAGGGGAACTTTTCCTTTTAGTATCAATAAAGCCTAGTAATTGGGTTCGTTGGTTACCTAAGCTCCAGTTTCCTAGTCTGTCTCTCCTTCTCTCTCTCTCTCTCTCTCTCATTCAGAAGCAACGTTAAAAAAAAAAAAAAAACGGCAACTGTGTGTGCGTTTGTGTGGAGTGTGCAAGTGTGAGTATGTGAAAGAAGTTGTTGGTTTCAAAAGTCCTTCTTAGCTGGAGAACAATGGTCATTGTCGATAGGTGGTGAAGAGTTTTGAAAGGTGAACTGCTGTTATTTCGGAAGAGAAAAATGTGGACAACGATTCAAGTCTCACAACACGAGTATAAAACGAGGGAGGGAGGTTTCTGAAGATTTCTTTCCCCTTTGGATGTGACAAAGACATTTGCAATGCTTCCCTAATAGTTTGCATTTTAATTAACTTTTACTACATTTTGACTTCAACTCCTGGATGGTAGTGTTATCTGTTTTTTTCAGTAAAGACTTCTCTACCATCATGCGCTCTAAATTTTTGCTTGAATGTTCTAATCTTTTTGAAAGCATGTTCTTAGTCATAAAGAATTTTTCCACCTGGGAACCATGCCTCAACTTAAAAATATAAAAGACCTTTCATGAATAATAACGGCAAATAGCCCATTCGTTTGTGTCCACGGAATTGTTGGCGCCTATACAAAATCTCAAAAATCTAAAGGCAATCTAAGCATGTTTCTCTCCAATCACATATATATATATGTATATATACATATATATATATATGTTTTCATTTTCTGTATGGAAGTAAAAAAATCTTTTAAAAGACTTTTTCAAAAAGCATTATGCTAAAATTTAACTGAACTTAAATTCCCCACCAGATACAACATAACTAGTGCCTGCCAACGTCAGCCTAACGAAATGAAGAGTATTTCTGAATCAGATTACTGTTGGGGTCAGAAGCTAGTCAATGAAAAGCAATGAGAATCCAAGTTTGCAAACCATGGAGGGTGGAGGAGGCAGCTCCCCAAGTTCCCAGCAACACACCCAAACCTGTGCTGTGCGCTCAGAGCTTCAGTGTTTACATATTATGGAGAGCTTCTCCTTTTCACTTTTAGTTAGAAAATCCACGAACTCCCCCTTAGTTCGTCGTCTTTTTTTAGGCTGTGAGACCCCGAGTCAGCTTGAGGGTTGCTTTGTGCCGAGTCCAGGAGGCCCAGAGTGACTGGAAGACAGACCCAGCCCTGGGCACGTTCGGGGCCCAGAAGAGCGTCTTGCGGGCCCTGCCCGGTGGCCACTGCCCCCAGCTCTCCCCGCACCCTCAGCCGGTGGCACCAGAGCCCCTGAGCTTCTTCCAGCTTCTGCAGATCGTGCCAGGGTGTCGGCACTTGGCTGAAGAGGGAGTGAACCTTGAGCTACGGTGTATACGCCCCGTTTCCCCGCTTCCCAAGAGGGTGACAGCCAACTTCCCTTCCCATCTGCTCCTGCTCTGGCCCGGGGCCCACCCATGCCCTCCAGTGTCGGCCCCGCCAGGCGCCCAGCGCCCCATGTCCTGGCTGCGCGCTAAGGGCACTCACCACGGCGGCCCTGGTCCCCCTCGCTGCCCAGGTTAAGGGAGGACGTGGCTCTTGGCGCTGTCCTCCGGGTGCCAGAAGTCGAGAAGAGTGGCAGAGAAAGATGGAAGGATTGGGAAGGAAAGGGCAGAGCTGAGCGGGGGTAACTCAGAGCCTCAGCCTCCCCAGACAACCTGGGGGCTCCCCTTCCCTCCCACCCTGGTCTGTGGGTCCCCACGGAGCTGCTCCAACAACCAGGTTCTCCTCTGGCTGTTAGGGTTCTCCCTCCCATCCCATACCTTCTGGTCGTTTAGAGTTTGGGTTTCGGTTAAGCTGTTTTCTACAGTCAGTCGGTCAGTCGTGGAAGCTCCACTTTTTTTCTTTGCCTCATTTACACTCCTTTCTTTATTTTTTTTTACACTCCTTTCTTTAAAGAGCATCCTCAAGCCTAGCTTATGCCAGCCCCTGTGCCATGTCCCAGGGCCCTATGTGCCAGAGGAGAAGTGATTTGTCTGTTTACAGCAGGTTTAATTAAGACGTGAACTCTTTGGGCACCAATCAATGCATTTGATTAGGAAAGTCAAATAGAATCACATCTTACACTTGTGGGGCCCCAGTTGGCCGCTCAGGCTGGAGATAGACACTGCTGTCATCTACTCCCGCCTCACTGGACCTGAATGGGTCTCTTCCACAAAGCCTGTCACCCTGCTTGTCCCCATGATCCCCAGTTGAGTCTTCCGTCCAGACCAAGGCCTTCCTGGTCGGGGCAAGAAAGACTGACTGCCCAGAGCACTCCTGATGCCCTTTAACTGAGGAGCCAGGGTCTGGACTTCTGTGGATCCCACTTCCAGGCTACCAAAGCACTCCCCAGCCCCAGGCCCCAGTCCTCCCCACCCTCTCCCCAAACCCGCAGAGAAAGCCTGGGAGGCAAGACTTTCCTTTACCCTGTCCTCTGTCCAGTATCCTACCCTCCCCCCAGCTCTCTGACCTAGGTGCTGGGCTGCTGCAGAAGCCTTTTCCTAATTTGTCATCATCAGAAACCTCGGACAATTGGAGTGTAAAACTGTAAGGGCTTCCAAAGATATGAGGGCTGCAGGCATTCAATAGAAGGGGTTGGAGGGGGGTGCTGAGAATCGGGGACAGGGACTTGGGACAGACGTCCCAAGTTGCTCTCCTGAGCTTTCCTCCCTCTGCAGCCTGACCGCCCTAACCTGAGCAGTGATTCACCCTTCCCTCCTCTCTCCTTCCTTGTACCCCCACCCGAACACCCCCCTCTCCGGAATATCCCGCCACATCATCAGCCCTCAAAAAGGAAAGGGGGCCAGAGTGTCAAAGGTCGCTCAGCCTCCTCCCCTCCTCTGACGTTGTCCAGCTACCCAGGGCTCAGGGGCCAGAGCCCTGGGTTGCTTGTGGTAGGACTCATGACGCCTGTATGGGGTGTGTGCGCCTCTTCTGCTGCTCTCCAGCGGCTAAGTCCAGCCCCCAGCAATGCTGGACCCCGCGTTCCTGCCACCCCTGCGGTTCTGACCCCCGGAAAGCTGCGGACCTGCCACTAACTTCATCATACCATCTATAATCGATCCCCCGGTTTTCAGTAGATTTGGGATCCTACAAGGGTAACCAGTAGATAGATAGGATTGGGGGGGCTTGAAACACTCTGAGCACGTCTGGGGGGACAGGGGGCGTCTCATAGGGGTTGTCCTGAGAGCTGCTGGGAGCAGTCGCCGAGGGTTCCAGGGTTCCAGGTGTCAACTTTGGCGGGCTGTATGCGCTAGGGCTCCCAGGGAAAACCCCCTCCTTGGCCTCCCGCAAGCCCCGCAGGAGGATTAGGTCCGAGGGTGGCCTTTTAGGGGCCTTTTTTAAAATTCTGCGTTTACTTCTGTAAAGGACTCCTCCCGGTTCTAGATGGGTACAGCAGCTGGCCTCAGAGTAGCCTCTGAGTCGCCCCTCCCCGCCCTGTGTCAGGCAGCCCCGGGTGACAGTCTGGCATCAGCTCTGGTGACGCCTCCTGGCAGGGCTTTGGGCCTCGGCGTCCAACTGAGGCCCAGGAACCCCCATGGTGCGTGCATCCTGCCTGGGGTGTTTGTGCGCGCGTGGGGGTGTTGGGAGAGCCGGGCGGCCGCGCCTTCCCGCTCGGGGCTCAGCGTGCACGCCGCGGATGAATCCTGAACCAGCTGCAGAGCAGAGGGGTCGAAGAAACAGGCATCTCCACCGAAGGGGCTGCAGGCAGCTCGGCTGACTGCCCCCCCCCCACCGCGAGGCGCGAGGTGGCCCGGGAGCCCCGCCAGGAGCCCCCGCCCCTCAGGCGGAGCTCGGGTCCTGGCAATCTCTGCACTTTGTCATCACGCCCCAGTATTTGACATTCGCAATTATCTGCAAATACCCTGATCGGTTTGTATATGAAACACTTTTTTTCCTGCCTTAAGGTTGGAATCTGGTAAGTTTCAGACAAGTGGTTGCGGGGGGGAGGGGACCCGGGGGACCGCGGGGGGGTGGGGGGACCGGCCCGGTGAACCCGGCTCGGCTAGGTGGGCGACGAGGAGGGACGGATCTGCGGGCCGCCCCCTCTTCCCCCGGCCCTAATCAGATGCAAGGCCACACGGAGCTCAGGAAGGGCCAAGGCCGCGCGACCCTCGGGTCCTCTTTGGAAAGGAGAGCCCCCTAATCCCCGTGGGAGAAAAGGTGAGAGGAGAGTGGAGATCCCACCGTGGCCAGGCCCAGGGGTTAATCATCTGGATAATCGGGAAAGGGCGCTGCCCGGCCTGGTCGCTGTCACCGAGAGTGTCAGTCACCAGCTCTCCACCCGCCGCAGAAATTACCTGCTCCAAGAGACATCCCACGGAGCCCTCCGCTCTGAGCTGTCCCCGCCCGCTGTCTGCGGGAAGTAAACCGCGCCCTCGTTCAAAAGAAGCGGATGCCCCTTTGACCCTCCTCCTCCCCCAGACGGTTCCCAAATCCAGAAGGGCAGTGCCAGCTCGGGATCGCTCCCAACTCCTACAGCGCAGCTCCAGCTTCCGGGCTACCTGCCTATTACACAGTCCGTCTACCAAAAGGAAAAAAGAAAAGTGGTGGTGGAGGAGGTAGGATAAAGGAGTGAAATTACGTGTCTGCTTTTTCTGCTGCTTTAGGAGCCTGATCCTGGCCCCTGGATCATCCGAAGGGCCTCGAGCCCACAAACTGGGAGGCCAGCGCTTCCCGGCGGGGGTGCGGTGCACACAGCCTGGGTGCTCCGGGGCTCCCCGTCTTGCTGGCCACCAAGCCCAGCTACTTTTGCTACGGGGACCCCAGTAACTTGAGAAACACCAAAACGTCCAGGGAAGCCTCCTCACCTCTCACTCAAGTTGCGGCTCTGCTGCAGACACTGGGCTAAGCTGCTGCTCACACATGATCACTCACATTTTCGGGGAAAGTGGGAGGAGGAGCAGGTTAGAGAAAGGTGAGTGGGTGGGGGATACTGCAACACCTTTAAGAAAAATCTGGGAGGAGGGGGGACTGGTTATAACTCCACCTTTGTAAGAGCCCAACTGCCAAAGCACTGGTATTTTTGGAATGGAACACAGAAGACAGAAGCAGGTCGGAAACGAATCCCTCCATCCCTCACCTCCCTCCCTCACCCTCCCAGCGCCCCCAGCCCAATTCGCCCCGACTGGGAACCCACGGGGTGCTGAACAGACGTCAGCTCTCTCGGCTCCTGCTCAGTCCCCGCGGGCAAGGAAGCGCCAGCGGCTCGAGAAGGTGGTTTCGGTCTCCCGTGGGTGCCCCTGACCCGCGGGGGCACCACACAGCCGAGGCAGCTGAGGTCGCAGCCGAAGTCACCTTCTCCCCGCACAGGTGGCAACCCCTGCGCCCAAGGCCCAAGGGAAGCAGCCTGCGACGCCCTCCTCTCCCTCCTTTCCCCGGACCCCTTGGGATTCGGTCTGAGATGAGGCCGGCGCAGGACACACACAGGGGCCCCTAGATTAGGCCCGGCTGTGGATGCGAAGACTGGGCCCAGGGGCCTCAGGCTGCACCACGCCTGTGGGTGTCCGCCTGGGTCAGGGGTGGGTCAGGACCTCAGAGGAGCAAGGGTCTGGGGTGACCCCCACTGCACCTCGTGCTACCTCCAGGACGGCCCTTGGCCTGTGGAGAAGGCAAAGCAGGGATGCTCCGAGACCGGTCAAACCTTCACCACTGCATAGTCCTCCCCCCCCCCCCCGTCGTGTCCTTATTATCTTTGTTAGATGGGTGTACGACTGCTCTCTTCCAACAGCTTAGTCTACGTAAAAACGCCCCGAGGGTTGGACGAGACTTTGCAGATTTGGCCTCCTGGGGGACCGCTCTTAGCTCTTGGGTGGTCGGCTCCCAACGCACTCTCCGCCCACAAGCACCGGGGACAGAGCCCACCTGGGCAGGACTGGTGGCTGTTAGGGCCCAGGAGGGTCCCCGTCGCCCCAACCCCGCGCGCTCGAGCTCCGGGCGGCGCGCACCCCGAAACCAGCGGGCGTCCCTGTGCACGTGCAAGCATCCTCCCACTTCGACCCCAATTCGCCCCGCGTCCGTCAGCCCAAACGGCTTTGCCTTCGGGTCTCTCCTGGGACCCAAGGCCCCGGGCCCCAAGTCCCGGAGACGCGGGCCGGAGGCTGGAGCACTCCTCTGCTCACCTTGACTTGAGACACTCGAAGGCCCCAGTTTAACTACCGGTTGTATGGGGGCCGCTGGGGGCACAGTGGCTGCGCCCTGCAGAGGCGCTCGCTCCCGGGGTCCGGGTCTCCAAGGGCATCTGGAGTCGGGCTACACCTACACCGTCCTGACTACCTGCAGCGCGCAGGTCCCAGGCGGGGAAAGGGCGCCGCGTAACCGGACGCCCGGTTACCTCTCCCGGGATCGGCCCTGACTTTGTTGGTAACTTAAGAAGCGCCCCTGAACTCGGGGAACACCTCCCTGCACAGTCCCCCACCCCCTTCCTTCCCGGGCCTCGAATCTCACCATCCTGCCCCCCATCCCCCCCCCCCGCCCCGCCCGTTAGAGACGCGCGGCGGGCGCTCGGTGGCGGAGCCGCCGTTGCAGATGTTTATTCGCAGCTAATTGCTTTTGCAGGAAAATGCTCCTTCCCGGGGCGGAGCGCTTCCGCAGCGCGCTGATCCCACCCGCGAAGCCCGGAAGGAACCGGCGGCGCAGCGGCCCAGGCCCGGCCCCAGCAGTGCTCCGGACTCCCGGTAGGGGGAGCCTCCCCGGGCGCCGGGCCAGCCCGGGTCCCGGCCTCCCGGCTCGGCCTCGCAACCCGCGCGGCCGCCTCTCCACCTGCCGGTGGGGGAGCGCTGCCAGCGGGGAAGGGAGCCCCGCGCCGAGCCTGCCCCCATCCCCGGCTGCTGCACCGCAGAGAAGACAGACACGACCGAAGTGCATCCTTGAGGTCCAAATATAGGTAGGGAAATTTGTAGGTGAGCTCACCTACATAGCCAACGGGACGAAAAAAATAGCACTTTCGGTGGCTAAGAACTGCTCTTGGTTCCACACATTTTGAGCCTCATTTTAAGAATTCTAAGTGATCTAATTAATACCTTCTCATTGCGTCTCCAAGTTGCCCAAGCAGCTGATTTAGCTGGCCCCAGGACCAAGCAGCAGCTCAGAAGAGACCTGCTGGCCCTCCTGCAGTAACCTCATCCACGGATTCTCTCCCTTCTGATTCCTTATGCTTTAGGAACGGTTCAGAAGCTTTCATTTTAGGATATGACCAATGTTCAGAGGACAACCCAAATTCAGGGTGAAGGGGAAAGAAGTCAGCCACACTGTGAACCCACAGATCACTCTACTGTGCCCCGTGTGGCCGAACACCTGAGCTCGAGGGGCCAGAGAATTCCTGGAGGATACCCCGCAGATAAAACCTGCAAGCTCCCCTTCTGCAAAAAGCCATCCTTCCCGCAGGAATCCACAGCGCAGAAGAGCTCTCATAAGGCCAAGTCATCAAGAGCTCTTCAGAGAGAATTGCATAAGCAAAGAATTTCACACTTGGAAGGAAACTTAAAGACCACTTAGTCTAATGGTTGTGGTTTACTGGTGAGGAGCTTGAGCTCAGTAGACGGGAGGCAGATTCACACTCCAGGTGAGAAAATCCCTGAATGCAGAGTTGAGACTCTGACTCTCCTCTTTTGACCCTCAGTCCAGGACTGTTTGGACCGCAGGACACCAGAAATGCATTTTACTGTTGTTGCTATCCCGGTAATTACGAATATATTTCCACATAGTTTAGAGTGCTTAGTAAGACATACTTCTTTCATAATATTGCAACAATAGCAAAATCTGCAAGGTCTGTGTGAAAAGAATATTACAGTTGGTTCAAGGGACGCTGAATTTTGGAAGTGAAATTGCATATAGCATTGAAGCATTTGGGGGAGAGACTAAACAAAAGTGGTTGTATTGTTTTATCCCAATTTAAGAACGTGCAATATATGCAAATATATGAATAAATGAACAAAACAGTACAAAAAACCCAGGATCGTTGGTATTATAAAGCATTCTTTATTTTTTAAAGGCATTCTTCTAAGTTGTGTGGTTTTTCTCCAAAAATCAGAGCTATTTTAGTGCATATAAGCATTTGTTTATAGGGTTTTTTTTTTTGTTTATAGGTTTTTAAAGTATTGAATTCTCATGCCATTTTTAAGGACCAAAGACAAATAATATATACATTTCTAAAATCAGATTAATCTAATTTCTAAATAGTCGAGTTAGCCACAGTGGGGGGAATTTTTTTGAATAAAATATTATAGGACAAACCTATAAGAAAACACTCCACTGTGTGTCTAATAAACCCTGAGGTATAAATGATATTCTATCATTTTCTCCACAACTACTTTATTTTTTGATAAGGTCAACACAAAAATTGTCATTTACAAGGACACTCCATTATTCCTTTTTTGTACCTGGTTCAAAAGGGCAAAGACATACATTATCAAATGGAAATGTCTCAGTCTCTTTCCGTAACTAATGTCTGATCTTTAGCAAATGGCGCTGTGATGTCATTGAAATGGGTATTGGACAAGGTACCAATTGATTTATTGATTTCCCTTCTTCAAAGTCCACTGGGAATTGGGGAGAAGGAAAAACATAGGTTGGCTGAAATGTGCATTACTTATACTATCATACACACACGAAAATTTATTTGGTTGATAAAATTGACAATTGAGAAGCACTGCTTACAGAAATTCATAAAGGAATGACGTGGAGGCCACGCAGTTGATGAACCTGCTTCTCCCCCATCCTGTCACTGTATTTGCCCGTCCGATTTCAACCTTATAGAAGTCAAAAAAGACCAAGTTTTCAGCTAGCCTATACACAACAATGGGAGCAGGAGGAAAAAAAGGAGGCTGGGGCGGGGCAGGAAACAGAATAGGCACATTTGCTTCCAAAGGCAAGCCCATAAATCCTGCTCCAGGGCCCTGACAGCTTGGCAGTGTTCCTGAAGACTGGCACTTGATGCGGATTCTCACCAGGCGTCTCGGTGAGCTGTGGGCTGGAGTGACCTCCCACCCGGGAGCGGCCTTCCTGCGGCCTACACCTGTGACAGAGCCTACAGCCAACCCAGGACGATAAAGAGAATAAGGCTGCTCTGAGTGTCTTTCGTTTCTTAGGAGAGGATTTCAAAGCCAGGCTCCTTTCAGCCTTAATCACTGAATAGATTTTTGAGGAGAAAGACTTTTACTCTGAGTCCTGTTAAAAAAGCCAATGCAATCGCCTGGAGAAACTCTACATTGTAACATCTGCCTAGGAATTACCACACACAACAGTATCTACAGCAAAGCTGAAAATAAATGGATAAAAACAAACCTCAGACTTCCTCTCCCCTGGCATTCCCTATGGGTGAGCTGCATTGAGTAACACCGAAGATTTACAATGCATCCTAAACACGGCTGCATATTAGCTACTTTGTCTTTCCTGTTCCTTCCCCCTGCTTTAAGAAAAATGGAACATCTTTGCCTTCCAGAGCTTTCTCTTCCTTTAGCTCAATCCTATGGGTTTAGCACCACCATCTAGGAAATCCCTGCTGGTTAAGGTGAGTTGACTTTGGTTTGTGCCCATGGGAGTAGGAGGAAGGATAGGGTGGAGCGAGTTTCTCTTGCTCACCACTCCAGAAGAGGGGTGTGCTTCAAGCTCTCTACTCATGCCCCCCCCCCCCCCGCCCAAGCTGGATCCTCGGAGAAGGCTGGTGTCAAGGAGATGTTGGGTGTGGGAGTATGGTGGAGAGAAAAGTAGAACCATGACGACTTTTAAGGAGGTTAAGCCAGTGTGTGCTGGGACCTGGTGCAGAAAATGCTTTTAAAAATAAATACATAAATGTATTTAAACAATAGTATTCATCTTCTTGCAGTCGTAAGTTTAATAACCATAAAAAATTCTTAAAAATCTGTAAATTTGGGGGAAGGGAGGTGAAGTAGTGTGCTTCAGAGCTTTAAGCCTACATGGTAAGTCAATTCTGCCTTTGTCACTTACTAGCAGTGAAACCTGGAGGAGGTTAACTCACCTTTCTGAACTTCATTTTCCCTATCTGTCAAATGGGCATAATAGCAACAGCCATTCCATAAAACTGAGGAGTAAATGAAATACTACATGTAAGTTGCTTAAGACAGTTCCTGCAACAACTGAAAAACTTGAAAAATGTTCACTATATTATGTTAGAATTGCTGATCCAGGGATCCCTGGGTGGCGCAGTGGTTTAGCGCCGGTCTTTGGCCCAGGGCGTGATCCTGGAGACCCGGGATCGAATCCCACGTCGGGCTCCCGGTGCATGGAGCCTGCTTCTCCCTCTGCCTGTGTCTCTGCCTCTCTCTCTCTCTCTCTGTGACTGTCATAAATAAAAAAAAAATTAAAAAAAAAGAATTGCTGATCCAATTGGCTCTCTCAATTCATATTGCAGATCACTGAATGGGAACGAGGAGTTGAAGCTTGGATCACATTATTCTCCTAGATCCATTTCTTAAGACAAAATAACTCAGGGTGGGCACCTGGGTGCTCAGTGGTTGAGCGTCTGCCTTAGGGTCAGGTCATGATCCCGGGGTCCTGGGATCGAGTCCCACATTGGGCTCCTCACAGGGAGCCTGCTTCTCCCTCTGCCGTGTCTCTGCCTCTCTCTGTGTCTCTCATGAGTAAGTAAATAAAATCTTAAAAGAAAAAAAAGATAACACAGGGAACCTTATATTACTTCATAACCAATGAAATTTTTTTTCTGAATTTTAGTAAGCATTTCTCGAGAACATTTTCATCAGCACTCTGTCCATCCCTACAGCAGAGGCTCCTGATCTGGGCAAGGGGGGCAGAGATTATGAAGACTATCTTGCCCAGAGGTCATTCCCAAGTCTTCCATACAGGGCTATGCTCAGGCAGGTGGAACTTTTCATCATACTGTCCCTGAGGTGTGACATTATGTTGGCTCAGGGTACAGGAAAAGAGACTCAGAGACCATGTCCTCTGGTCTTTGTTTGCTGCTGCAGGGACACACGGTGTCCTACCAAATGGAGAGAACCCTTTAGCCTGACTCTGAGAAACATCTCTCTCACCCCTCTGCACTGAATTTGCCCAGGGACCCATATTGTTTTATTTGGTGATGACCAAGGAAATATTGCCATTTCCTTGTTACAATCATTTTATGAAAGACAATGGTTCTACCTTGCT